TAATTGTAGATACTGAACTAAATTTCTGTATGTCCAACTCTAGCTTCGCTTAAATACTTATATAAGAAATAGTGTAATTTTAGCCTATATAGGCTTAATTTCTAAATTAGTCTTATACATTAAAGCTAATTTAGGCAGATGGTATGGGCAGACTGTAGGTGTACTGTCTACCCTCGATTCTCATGATACCTCAACCAACTCCTCTCCTTCCTTTCTCTCTCTCTCCCTCCCACATCTTTCATGGGAAAATAGCATAGGATTGATTCTCCCAGAAATGATGATCAAACCAAATACAAAGTATGTGGCCAGCACTATGGTCACTATCTTCAACACTATGTGCTTAATTCTCCACTTATTGAGGAATATAGTGATAGACAGTATAATAACTTATGTGATACGTCAATTATTATTATTATTTTTAAAGATTAGCCGGTATTCTCCCGGCCCGGGCCTTTTCCAAGTGGTGGCCCGGCCTTGGCTCCCTCTTTAGGGAGTGTCTGAGACCTAAGTCTCCCATGGGAGGAGGCACAAGTACCTCCTCATCTTTGGGACCAACTGTCCCCAGGCCTAGCCACAAGCTAGGAGGCCTCTCTGGTCTGCCATCCCCGCCCCAAGAGGGCTAATGGGAATGACGGTCTTATGAGCTAAAGGCTCGGGCTCAGGCACCTACCCTACCCTAGAAGGGTTGGGCATGGTGTCGATGATACGTCAAGATATAATATACAAGATATATTAAGCAAACTTCCTAAATTTGCTTGCAACAGATAAGTGAACTGTAGATATAAATCCAGATGCACTCCTGTCAACCCTTTTGGGACCTAGTTCCTAGGCCTTTTGTGTATTTAGGCTACGGCTACTGTGTGTTTCCTTACACCGGATATCTGTGTTCACCCATCAGTAAAATGGGTACCTGGGTGTTAGTGGACTGGTGTGGGTCGCATCCTGGGACACTGACCTAATTTGCCCGAAATCCTCTGCATAACAAGCAGCTTTGTATGTAGTAATATATTATTGATGTCAGTTATGGTCTGTATACCTTGTACATGTACTTGTAGTCATATTATATTATTATTATTATTATTATTATTATTATTATTATTATTATTATTATTATTATTATTATTATTATATACTCTTGCACTACCGTCCACAGGATGGGTATGTGGGACACAATAAATTAGCCACTTCGGGAGCAGTTTAAACACGCACTGCTCACAGAACAATATACAGGGTACTTACTCCACACACACTCACACACATACACACTCACACACACACACTCACACACACACACACACACACACACACACACATCACAACACAACACACACAACACACACAACACACATAGCACAACCAACACACACACAGCACACACACCACTGGCAGACACAGAGAACTGTAGGAAAATCAATAAACGGATGGTGAATATGTAGCAACAAAGTGGCAAGGAGGCAGAGGAAAAGGTTCCCACCAAGAAACAAAATAATAGAAGACCAAAACGATCCTTGGTTTACCCGAAGTGTAGGAGGTAAAAACTAAGTGCAACAAGATGAATGGAAAGGTACAGAGGCATAGTGACCCAGGAAAAAAAGGAGATTAGTGAAGAGCCAAAACGAGAAACGAGTATGCACAGATAAGGAGGGAGGCCCAGCGACAGTATGAAAACGACATAGCATCGAAAGTCAAATCCGACCCGAAACTGCTGTATAGCCACATTAGGAGGAAGACAACAGTCAAGGACCAGGTGATAAGGCTGAGGAAAGAAGGTGGAGAACTCACAAGAAACGATCAAGAGGTATGTGAGGAGCTCAACATGAGATTTAAGGAAGTATTTACAGTGGAGACAGGAAGGCATCTCGGGGGACAGACCAGATGGGGACACCAGCAAGGAATACACCAACAAGTGTTGGACGGCATACATACAGATGAGGAGGAGGTGAAGAACTGCTAAGGGACATCGATACCTGAAAGGCAATGGGACCGGACAACATCTCCCCATGGGTCCTTAGAGAGGGAGCAGATATGCTGTGCGTGCCACTTACCACAATCTTCAACACGTCCCTGGAAACTGGGCAACTACCTGAGGTATGGAAGACGGCAAATGTAGTTCCAATTTTTAAAAAAGGAGACAGAAAAGAGGCACTAAACTATAGACCTGTGTCATTGACGTGTATATTATGCAAAGTTATGGAGAAGATTATCAGGAGGAGAGTGGTGGAGCACCTGGAACGGAACAAGAGTATAAATGCCAACCAGCACGGATTCATGAAAGGCAAATCCTGTGTCACAAACCTTCTGGAGTTTTATGATAAAGTAACAGAAGTAAGACACGAGAGAGAGGGGTGGGTTGATTGCATCTTCTTGGACTGCAGGAAGGCCTTTGACACAGTTCCTCACAAGAGATTAGTGCAGAAGCTAGAGGATCAGGCGCATATAACAGGAAGGGCACTGCAATGGATCAGAGAATATCTGACAGGGAGGCAACAACGAGTCATAGTACGTAATGATGCTCGTCACAGTGGGCACCTGTGACAAGCGGAGTCCCACAGGGTCGGTTCTAGGACCAGTGCTATTTTTGGTATATGTGAACGACATGATGGAAGGGTTAGACTCAGAAGTGTCCCTGTTTGCAGATGATGTGAAGTTAATGAGGAGAATTAAATCAGATGAGGACCGGGTAGGACTTCAGAGAGACCTGGACAGACTGGACACCTGGTCCAGCAAATGGCTTCTCGAATTTAATCCCGCCAAATGCAAAGTCATGAAGATAGGGGAAGGGCACAGAAGACCGCAGACAGAGTATAGGCTAGGTGGCCAAAGACTGCAAACCTCACTCAAGGAGAAAGACCTTGGGGTGAGTATAACACCGAGCATGTCTCCGGAAGCACACATCAACCAGATAACTGCTGCAGCATATGGGCGCCTGGCAAACCTGAGAACAGCGTTCCGATACCTTAGTAAGGAATCGTTCAAGACACTGTACACCGTGTACATCAGACTCATACTGGAGTATGCAGCACCTGTTTGGAACCCGCACTTGATAAAGCACGTCAAGAAACTAGAGAAAGTACAAAGGTTTGCGACAAAGTTAGTTCCAGAGCTAAGGGGAATGTCCTATGAAGAAAGGTTAAGGAAAATCGGCCTGACGACACTGGAGGACAGGAGGGTCAGGGGAGACATGATAAGGACATATAAAATACTGCGCGGAATAGACAAGGTGGACAAAGACAGGATGCTCCAGGGAGGGGACACAGAAACAAGAGGTCACAATTGGAAGTTGAAGACACAAATGAGTCAGAGAGATATTAGGAAGTATTTCTTCAGTCATAGAGTTGTAAGGCAGTGGAATAGCCTAGAAAATGACGTAGTGGAGGCAGGAACCATACACAGTTTTAAGACGAGGTTTGATAAAGCTCATGGAGCGGGGAGAGAGAGGGGCCCAGTAGCAACCGGTGAAGAGGCGGGGCCAGGAGCTAAGACTCGACCCCTGCAACCACAAATAGGTGAGTAGAAAAACACACCAACACACACAGCTGCTGGTGTTGTCATAGTCTGGTAAAACATATATAGACTAGGATTTAGGTCAGTTACGATTTATAAGGTATACCAGTGTTGGGCGTCCCAGTGTTGTGTATCCCAGTGTTGGGTATCCCAGTGTTGTGTATCCCAGTGTTGGGCGTCCCAGTGTTGTGTATCCCAGTGTTGGGTATCCCAGTGTTGTGTATCCCAGTGTTGGGTATCCCAGTGTTGTGTATCCCAGTGTTGGGTATCCCAGTGTTGTGTATCCCAGTGTTGGGTATCCCAGTGTTGTGTATCCCAGTTTTGGGTATCCCAGTATTGTGTATCCCAGTGTTGTGTATCCCAGAGTTGTGTATCCCAGTGCTGGGTGTTCTGAGTGAGAGTATTCTTGTTGTATAAGTGAGAGTATTCTTGTTGTATAAGTGAGAGTATTCTTGTTGTATAAGTGAGAGTATTCTTGTTGTATAAGTGAGAGTATTCTTGTTGTATAAGTGAGAGTATTCTTGTTGTATAAGTGAGAGTATTCTTGTTGTATAAGTGAGAGTATTCTTGTTGTATAAGTGAGAGTATTCTTGTTGTATAAGTGAGAGTATTCTTGTTGTATAAGTGAGAGTATTCTTGTTGTATAAGTGAGAGTATTCTTGTTGTATAAGTGAGAGTATTCTTGTTGTATAAGTGTCTGTATTCTTGTTGTATAAGTGAGAGTATTCTTGTTGTATAAGTGAGAGTATTCTTGTTGTATAAGTGAGAGTATTCTTGTTGTATAAGTGAGAGTATTCTTGTTGTATAAGTGAGAGTATTCTTGTTGTATAAGTGTCTGTATTCTTGTTGTATAAGTGAGAGTATTCTTGTTGTATAAGTGAGAGTATTCTTGTTGTATAAGTGAGAGTATTCTTGTTGTATAAGTGAGAGTATTCTTGTTGTATAAGTGAGAGTATTCTTGTTGTATAAGTGAGAGTATTCTTGTTGTATAAGTGAGAGTATTCTTGTTGTATAAGTGAGAGTATTCTTGTTGTATAAGTGAGAGTATTCTTGTTGTATAAGTGAGAGTATTCTTGTTGTATAAGTGAGAGTATTCTTGTTGTATAAGTGAGAGTATTCTTGTTGTATAAGTGAGAGTATTCTTGTTGTATAAATGAGAGTATTCTTGTTGTATAAGTGAGAGTATTCTTGTTGTATAAGTGAGAGTATTCTTGTTGTATAAGTGAGAGTATTCTTGTTGTATAAGTGAGAGTATTCTTGTTGTATAAGTGAGAGTATTCTTGTTGTATAAGTGAGAGTATTCTTGTTGTATAAGTGAGAGTATTCTTGTTGTATAAATGAGAGTATTCTTGTTGTATAAGTGAGAGTATTCTTGTTGTATAAGTGAGAGTATTCTTGTTGTATAAGTGAGAGTATTCTTGTTGTATAAGTGAGAGTATTCTTGTTGTGTAAGCTACTACGTTGTTGTTCTCCAGATAAGTGTTGTTCACCTGCAGGTTGATACCAGAGTCAGCCCGCTGGTTGTTGGGTCAAGGCAGAGTGAAGGACACGATCAAAATTCTGAAGAAGGCTGCTAAGGTCAACCGAAAGCCTCTCACTCCAGAGGTCATCCAGGAGTTTGAGGTCAGTGGGTGAGGCCTGAGAGGTCACGAGGTCAGTTTCTGAGTGTGGGGGGAGGTTATGCCTCCTTTTGTATCCGTGGGATCGAGCTTGCATCTTTCCAGAATAAATTATTTTTTATTTTTCATTAGGTATTTTTCAAGACACATAATTCAGGGAGTTCTTGTTACACCCATAATTACTAAACTATACAGTTCTGAAACTCAAACGATTTCTTGCTATTTTAGGCCTACGGAACGAAGCAAGCAAGGACAGACCACCACAAGACTGCCTCTGTGTTAGACCTACTCAGGAGGCCTAGGCTGAGACTACGCTTCGTAGTACTCTGTATTATGTGGTGAGATTATTAATATTATTATTATTATTATTATTATTATTATTATTATTATTATTATTATTATTATTATTGTTATAATTATTATTATATTATTATTGTTATTATTATTATTATTATTATTATTATTATTATTATTATTAGTAGTAGTAGTAGTAGTAGTAGCAGCAGCAGCAGCAGCAGCAGCAGCAGTAGTAGTAGTAGTAGTAGTAGTAGTAGTAGTAGTAGTAGTAGAAGTAGTAGTAGTAGTAGTAGTAGCAGTAATGGTAGTAGAAACAGAAGCAGCAACAACAGTAGTATATTCGCCGAAAACAGGTAAACCCTTAAGGGTCGTACTGCGTTAGGAGGGGGGGGACGGGAGGTAAGCTATGTTTCATCCAAGGAAGGATAAGATAGCTCTAATTCCATGGACCTAGAGCCCTCCACGGGTTCTAGGTCCAAGGAGACTTGATGACCACAATACAATATTGCAACATACCTCGCACTTATGACCGACGTTTAGGTTCGAGGACCAAAACGTGACTGGAACAATATGCAAATATTGTTCCAGTCACGTTTCGGTCCTCGAACAATATGCAAATATTGTTCCAGTCACGGTTATCCTGCCTAGTTATTTTTTTTTACTACAATATACAATAGGGGTTTATAGGTATTGTATCATCAGAATTCATGGCTACAGTCACTAGTATGAACAACCACAACTACCACCATCACCTCAGGATGGTGATCACCGTAGCTTACGACGGACACATGCGGAACACGGAGCACATCGGCAGTAACGTGTTCACTACCTTCTGTATCGCCGGCTTCGTGGAGTTGCCGGCAGACTTCCTGACCATGGTAGCTGTGGAGAAGGTCGGCAGGAGACACACCACGGTGTTTACTCTTGTTGTTAGTGGTCTGGTCAGCTTTGTGGTGGCGGCTTTACCTCCAGGTGAGACACTGGGTGAGAGAGAGAGAGAGAGAGAGAGAGAGAGAGAGAGAGAGAGAGAGAGAGAGAGAGAGAGAGAGAGGAGAGAGAGAGAGAGAGAGAGAGAGAGAGAGAAAGAGAGATAGAGAGAAAGAAAAGAGGTATTTAGAGTGACCTATAAAGAGAAAAATAGAGAAAAAGCAGAGAGAGAGAGAGAGAGAGAGAGGTGCTATGAGACAGAAGAGAGAGATTGTTTGTATATGTGTTACAAACATGTGTTATAGAAATATAATATTTATATATATATTATATATAATCAATATACATATAAATACAAGTCGCAGGGACACCACAAAAAAACACACCACACACAACAAAAATACTTTCATCATCATTCAAACTTTCACCACACTCACACATATATCACTGTTTTGCAGAGTCTCAAATACAACATTTAGATAGCATACACATATAAAGATATACAAAATATTATCTCACAACTGCCAATATCCCAAACTCCTCCTTAAAGATCAGACATTTGTACTCCATTTCAAACTCAAGTCCGTTATAAAATAACCTGTTTTCCTGCAATCGCTTCACATACATATTTACCCTGCCACACTCCACTACTCGTCAACTCCCAAATACCATTGCCATATCCTCCATCTAACACGCACAAACGCAACCCGCTTGCTGAGATCAAGCTTCGCCATTCCAAACCATCTTTATAATAACCCCGTTCCCTCAACCTTTCACTAACTATCCTACCCCGCCTCACCCCCACAGATTTACGTCACTCCATGTATCCTACTTTGATCCATTACTCCTCTAAAGACACAACCACCTCAACAAATCCTCTTCAACCCTCTGACTAATACTTTTATTAACTCCACACCTTCTCCTAATTTCCACACTCCGAATTTTCTGCATATTATTTACACAACACATTGTCCATATATATATATATATATATATATATATATATATATTAAAATTTATAATATATATATATATATATATATATATTATATATATATATAATATATATATATATATATATATATATATATATATATATAGAGTATATATATATACGTATCCTCCATCTGCCCGAACTGACCCGGCATATTAGTGACTTTCTTTGTACTTAGCAGACCAAAACTGTAATTACACAATGTAACATTTCACAAAGAAATATCTTTTACTTTTTACTTTCACTTTTACTAGGAAGTCTGACTTAAGTTTTTTCTTTTAAATTTAGTAATATATACATGAGGGGGTTACTAGCGTCTTGCTCCCGGCATTTTAGTCGCCTCTTACGACACGCATGACTTACGGAGGAAGAATTCTTTTCCACTTCCTATATATAAATTCAGTGTAAATACATTTAAAATTTCAATCTCTATGTTCATATCTTTACTTACTATAAGTACATGTACAAGGTATACAGACCATAGCTGACATCAATGACATACTATTATGTAGAAAACCGCTTGTTATGCTGAGCATTTCCTGCAAATTAGGTCAGTCTTGTCCAAGATGCGACCCTCACCAGTCGACTAACACCCAGGTACCTATTTTGAACTGATGGGTGAAGAGGGTCAGGGGCAGCAGGTGTCTTATGATAGGTATTAAAGTATTCTGGTGGTGAACAGGTGATATGCAGCCTTACTGACCCTCGTACTGTTTCTCAGCTTACATAAAATCTTTATTCTTCAGGGCACACCATGACTATCATGTGGATGGCAGTGATGGGCAGGTTCATGATCACCATGGCCATCAACGTGGGCATGCAGTACCCCGTGGAGGTGCTGCCCACGGTGGCCCGGGGGTCGTGCTCCGGGGCCATCCACACACTGGGCCACGTCTCTGTGTTCGCCTCGCCCTATATAGTGTACCTGGTGAGGAATTTTAATTTTGAGTCTTATGTATTTGACTGTGTTACTGCTGTCTACCTATCTATCTACATGTCTATCTGTCTACCTGTCTGTTTGTCTGTTCCTCTGCTTGTCTGTCGTTCCTGTGCTCACAAAATCCCAGGATACCTCTGCACCTCATAAAAATAATATATTAGCTCATTCTGGTTATAACCGAAAGTACACGGATTTGATTCCCGGGCAATAAACGTTATCCTTCCCTGCCGTACGTAAATGAAGACCAAGTACGGCCACTATCTTCCGTACGTGATCCTGGGTGCGTTGACTGTGGGGGGAGGCCTGGTGTGTCTGGTGCTGCCTGAGACGCTGAATCAGAACCTGCCAGACACCTTGGAAGACGGTGAGAAGTTCTTCTCCGACCAAAGCTTCTTCTACAACCCCTGCACCAGGTGAGGGGTTCAATGCAGTTCAAACATACACACACATACACACACACACACACACACACACACACACACACACACACACACACACACACACACACACACACACACACACACACACACACACACACACACACACACTTAAAAAAAACGCGATTCTAAAAGCTTAGAGATCTCCAGTGAATACTAGAAAGGACTGCCCTTCTAGCATCCAGCCTGTTACTGGGTTTTCGTAACAAGTAGTCAGTATCCTTGTCCAATTATCCATTAGAATTCAGTATGATTCAATAGTGCTTCAGGATTACAACTGGTAGGCTACTAACTAGAGAAATTAAAATTTAATAAATTTATTAAGTATCGTCTAGAGGTATACCATCAAATTAAATTAAATTAATCAATTCAAACCAATTAATAATAATCACTTCTCTCGTGTACAGTATCATTGTGCTGAAAGCACATATCACATTTATAACTCTTAAGTACCATCTGATACATTAACATTTAATAAGATATTACAAATATGTACAAGTTTGTGTGTATGTGTGTAAGTGCTCTAAGTAGTTCACTATGTCTCACGACTCGACTAGACTTAAACAAGTGACTGACAAAGTCCTCAAATAAACTAACTTCTTGACCACCTGGCTATCAGAACAGTCTGCTTGAACAATAAAAAGAATGCTAAGCCCAATGGCAATCTAACAAGCGACTGCGACACAATCAGGATCAAGAAGATAATATAACGACACTAAGTAGGGACCATCAGCAGATCCTCCACAAAAGTCACAAAACTCCCATACTACTGAATCTAAGTTCAGCATAAGAAAATCCCCGACTGTGACAATACACAGATACCAGTACAAGTTAGGTCAGAAGCTACAGCTCAGGACCTGAGTTGCTCAGAGTGTCTTTGAGACACACAACCTCAGTACAACGTCTAAAATCACTACGTCTATACAATGTTCTGTGAACAGTCTCACAGAACCTAACGAGACAGAGATGATCTTCCAACAAGGGCCAATAAGGGAGATTTAGGCTCTTGTCAGGGATACGTCCAACCACCAAGAGAGTCTAGACCAGACTGAATACTTCAGGCGAGATGAGGACACCCCCCTCGATCACGTGATAGCTCCGTTGACAGCTGCTGCTCAGTAACAACGAGAAGCCGGCAGGTAAACGAGCCACAAGCGATAATTACAGTAGTTAGACAATCAAGACTTGAACTTTGAGCACATAATATGTTACATCCTACCTAACAACATAACTAAGTCAAATAATAATATAAAGCAATATATTTACGATTTAGCTATTATCGCAAATATAAGCAATATAAAATTATATGAAAAGGTAATATACATGTAATATATATACATAATATACATTGCAACCCATTCAGGGGTTGCAACACACACACACACACCAGGATACTCAGCAACCAGTGCAGAGGCTGGGGCAGGAGCTAGGACTCGACCCCTGCAACCACAATTAGATAAGTAATGTACAGGTGGAGAGACAGTGAGGTTGTATCACTTCTTCCACATTACAATAAACAGGTGATATCACAATATGCAAAACAACCACTGAGAAAAAACAGTAAACTTCCAAGCGCTTTCGTGATTTCTCACGTTATCAAGAATCTTTGAATAAAATCAGGTAAGCGCATGGAAGTACAATATTTTTCCCACAGTGGTCGTTCTGCACAGTAAACACCGTTTAAGTCCCCACATTTCTCATCTATAAAAACCAAAACACGAAATACACTCTTAGTAACTCCTCCGTAAATGCATTAATCCATAATCCTTGGATTTTTTTAATTATTTCTGAATAAGATCTTAAATAAGACGACCAGACTAACACAACATTAATACTGATTTTCTCCCGTGTGTATTTCAGTGGTATTAAACCAGATATTATGACTGTTTATAATTATAACCTTAATTTTTAAAGGGGTGAAGGGGTAAGCCAGTAGAAGGCCTCGGTCAGATGATCAAAAGCTCCAGCTGTGGGTTATTATATGGCTAAGACTCACGTCAGCAAACACTTGTCCTGTTTCCTGGCGAATCTTACCTAACGTAACGTAACGTAACGTAACCTAACCTAACCTAACCTAACCTAACCTAACCTAATGATAATCAGCACCGACAAAATGGTGAATTAGACACAAGTCCAACACCTGGGTATCTTTTCAATGTAGACGAAACGTCTACAGAATAAAGATACCCAGATGTTGCATATGTGTCTAATTCATCAGTACCTGTGTGCTTTACTGTGTGCTTTACTAATGCTTCACAAAGCACAGTAGTGGAAATAAAGACATTTGTATCGGAGAGTCATTTAAATAAAGCCTTTATACTTAGTAAAGCTCAAGGCTGAGCTTTACTAAGTATAAAGTCGTAAGTAAACACACACACTTCTTTCTCTGATGGAAATAGTTTAAACAACAGACAAGTTGAAGGATGAGACACATGTGTAACATTTGGGTACCTTTATTGAGAAAACATGTCGCCAAAACCAGTGGCTTTTTCAGTCTAATACAGAGAAGAACGGTGAAAGATGAGGAAGAGTTTGAGATAATCAGTCCCTCAATCTTGGAATCTTCGTTTCGCCACTGGTTGGCGAAATGTTCCCAGAATAAGGATTCCCATATTTTCCATAAGTGTCTCAGTTAAGAATCATCTAAATACCGTAAACTTAGCATCATTTGATTATGGCGGACAGATTAAAATTCTTTTTGCGTGATTTCAGGAGGAGGTCGAAGGGCACTTTGAGGGAAGAAGATGACAGTTCCAAAGAAGATGACAGTCCGAAGGAAGACGAGACTGTAAGAGACGCTGAAGACGGTGATCCCAGAACAAACGAGATGTTATGTTTTACGAAGGCTCCTAAAGAACAAAATATTTCACCATGTCAAGAAAGATGTCATACACCAGTGAATGACGATAATTCCCAGGCTCTGACATCTGAAGACGCCAGACAAACATAAATTTGTATAGACAGTCTACAAGCGTCTAAGGACGCTTCACATGCACTAATACTTGAGGCCAGTCCACAAGCACTGACGTCTAAGAACGCTACACCAGCACTAATGCGTCTCTCTCGCATTTAATGGACAGAGGATCGAGCCTTCACTTAAATCATTCCTCTGACATGCGAAAAGAGCGAACAAATTTATGCCTTAAATAGGCTAAATTTCATTCCACTTTTTATATGCATTTATTCCTTTTTGCGATGAATTTACCAGGTATATACATCGAGGAATGTATATACCTTAGTGTATATACTGAGGTATATACATCGTTATTTATAGGGAACAAAGTATTCTTGTCATTTGAGTACAGGTGATAAGTGGCTTTAATAACCCTTGTGTAGAAGGTAGACCTTAATAACCCTCGTGTAGAAGGTAGACCTTAATAACCCTCATATAGAAGGTAGACCTTAATAACATTAGTGTAGAAGGTAGACCTTAATAACCCTTGTGTAGAAGGTAGAAATTAATAACCCTCATATAGAAGGTAGACCTTAATAACATTAGTGTAGAAGGTAGACCTTAATAACCCTTGTGTAGAAGGTAGACCTTAATAACCCTCGTGTAGAAGGTAGACCTTAATAACCCTCATGTTGAAGGTAGACCTTAATAACCCTCATGTAGAAGGTAGACCATAATAACCCTCATGTTGAAGGTATACCTTAATAACCCCCATGTAGAAGGTAGACCTTAATAACCCTAGTGTAGAAGGTAGACCTTAATAACCCTAGTGTAGAAGGTAGACCTTAATAACCCTAGTGTAGAAGGTAGACCTTAATAACCCTAGTGTAGGAGGTAGACCTTAATAACCCTAGTGTAGAAGGTAGACATTAATATTACCCTAGTGTAGAAGGAAGACCTTAATAACCCTAGTGTAGAAGGAAGACCTTAATAACCCTAGTGTAGGAGGTAGACCTTAATAACCCTAGTGTAGAAGGAAGACCTTAATAACCCTAGTGTAGGAGGTAGACCTTAATAACCCTAGTATAGAAGGAAGACCTTAATAACCCTAGTGTAGAAGGTAGACCTTAATAACCCTAGTGTAGAAGGTAGACCTTAATAACCCTCATGTAGAAGGTAGACCTTAATAACCCTAGTGTAGAAGGTAGACCTTAATAACCCTTATGTAGAAGGTAGACCTTAATAACCCTCATGTTGAAGGTAGACCATAATAACCCTCATGTAGAAGGTAGACCTTAATAACCCTCATGTTGAAGGTAGACCATAATAACCCTCATGTTGAAGGTAGACCTTAATAACCCTCATGCAGAAGGTAGACCTCAATAACCCTCATGTAGAAGGTAGACCTTAATAACCCTCATGTAGAAGGTAGACCTTAATAACCCTTATGTAGAAGGTAGACCTTAATAACCCTCATGTAGAAGGTAGACCTCAATAACCCTCATGTAGAAGGTAGACCTTAATAACCCTCATGTAGAAGGTAGACCTCAATAACCCTCATGTAGAAGGTAGACCTTAATAACCCTTATGTAGAAGGTAGACCTTAATAACCCTCATGTAGAAGGTAGACCTCAATAACCCTCATGTGAAGAGTAGACCTTATAACCCTCATGTTGAAGGTAGACCTTAATAACCCTCATGTTGAAGGTAGACCTTAATAACCCTCATGTAGAAGGTAGACCTTAATAACCCTCATGTTGAAGGTAGACCTTAATAACCCTCATGCAGAAGGTAGACCTTAATAACCCTCATGTAGAAGGTAGACCTTAATAACCCTCATGCAGAAGGTAGACCTTAATAACCCTCATGTTGAAGGTAGACCTTAATAACCCTAGTGTAGAAGGTAGACCTTAATAACCCTCATGTTGAAGGTAGATCTTAATAACCCTCATGTAGAAGGTAGACCTTAATAACCCTAGTGTAGAAGGTAGACCTTAATAACCCTCATGTTGAAGGTAGACCTTAATAACCCTAGTGTAGAAGAAGACCTTAATAACCCTAGTGTAGAGGTAGACCATTAATAAACCCTCATGTTGAAGGTAGACCTTAATAACCCTAGTGTAGAAGGTAGACCTTAATAACCCTAGTGTAGAAGGTAGACCTTAATAACCCTCATGTTGAAGGTAGACCTTAATAACCCTAGTGTAGAAGGAAGACCTTAATAACCCTAGTGTAGAAGGTAGACCTTAATAACCCTCATGCAGAAGGTAGACCTTAATAACCCTCATGTTGAAGGTAGACCTTAATAACCCTCATGCAGAAGGTAGACCTTAATAACCCTCATGTAGAAGGTAGACCTTAATAACCCTCATGCAGAAGGTAGACCTTAATAACCCTCATGCAGAAGGTAGACCTTAATAACCCTCATGTAGAAGGTAGACCTTAATAACCCTCATGCAGAAGGTAGACCTTAATAACCCTCATGTAGAAGGTAGACCATAATAACCCTCATGTAGAAGGTAGACCTTAATAACCCTCATGTAGAAGGTAGACCTTAATAACCCTAGTGTAGAAGGTAGACCTTAATAACCCTCATGCAGAAGGTAGACCTTAATAACCCTAGTGTAGAAGGTAGACCTTAATAACCCTAGTGTAGAAGGTAGACCTTAATAACCCTCATGTAGGAGGTAGACCTTAATAACCCTAGTGTAGAAGGTAGACCTTAATAACCCTCATGTAGGAGGTAGACCTTAATAACCCTAGTGTAGAAGGTAGACCTTAATAACCTCATGTAGGAGGTAGACCTTAATAACCCTAGTGTAGAAGGTAGACCTTAATAACCCTCATGTAGGAGGTAGACCTTAATAACCCTAGTGTAGAAGGTAGACCTTAAATAACCCTCATGTAGGAGGTAGACCTTAATAACCCTAGTGTAGAAGGTAGACCTTAATAACCCTCATGTAGGAGGTAGACCTTAATAACCCTAGTGTAGAAGGTAGACCTTAATAACCCTAGTGTAGAAGGTAGACCTTAATAACCCTATATATATATATATTAGTTTTACCAAAGCATATTTTGTTTTCTTTGATTTGTTTCCGGTTTCTCTCCGTTTTCTTCTTCAAATAAAGGTATAATTATTATATTTTTTACCTTTTTTTGTGTCGCCGCCTCTTATGGCCTCAGCTGCATTATCAATAATAATAATAATAATAATAATAATAATAATAATAATAATAATATATAATAATAATATAATAATATAATAATAATAATAATAATATGGCAGTGGTTGTTATTACTGATAACATTTAGAAATTTTGTAATTGTAATAGTTTTGTTAACGTTATTTCAATAAAAGAAAATCACAGTTCTGGTTTCGTTTGTTATTAACATAAATCGAAAACAAATCTTCAAAGAGAGCGAGGCAATAGAGATAGTCAATTAAAGAGAGAGAACGAGAGAGAGATAAAAAGAGCAGGAAAAAAGGCTTTTATGAATGAAGGGAGAAGGGGCCTCTAAAATCAGGGATAAATATATATATGCAGAAGGTAGGAGGAAGAAGAAGAGGCAATAACTAGGGAGAGGGAGGAGTACTGATAAAGATGGAGCAGAAAGGGAACTACTGAAGGAAGGATAAAGACTGTGTAGAGCCTTATTAAGTCATGTTTCACTTTGAGTAGAGCTTTATCACACACACACACACACACACACACACCACACACACACACACACACACACACACACACACACACACACACACATACACACACGCACACACACCACAATTAGGTGAGTGATTGAGTACAGCTGGTGATTGCAGTGATGTACAACCCACCACAGAATAGCAGGAAGCGAAGAGAAGTATATGAGAGTAACACAGCAGTGGTGCACACACTAGCTGAAGTGGCCAGAAGAGCCCATGTGGGAAGGGTAAATTTACTAGTTGTGGGTGATTTCAATCACAAGGAGAGTGACTGGGAAAACCTGGAGCCAGATGGGGGACCATAAACGTGGAGGGCTAAGATGATGGATGTAGTACTGGAAAACCTCATGCATCAACATGTTAGGGACACTACCAGAGAGGAAAAGATGAACCAGCAACACTGGACCTATTATCCACCTTAAGCAGTTCAGGTATTGAGGATATCACATATGAAAGGCCTCTTGGAGCTAGTGATCATGTGGTCCTGAGCTTCGAATACATGAATACAAAGAAGAATTACAAGTGGAGAGGGAATCAGCACAAGTAGGATGGGAGAAGCCAAACTACAAAAGAGGAAACTACACAGGCATGAGGAATTTCCTGCATGAGGTGCAGTGGTAAAGAGAACTGGTGGGAAAAACAGTAAATGAAATGATGAAACACGTGGCCACCACAAAATGCAGAGAGGTTCGTACCCGAGGGAAGACCAGAACAAGCCCTTGGTTCACCCAAAGGTGTAGAGATGCCAAAACTAAGTGCGCTAGAGAACGGAAAAAGTATGAAAGACAAAGGACCCAGGAAAATAGGGAGATTAGCCAAAGAGCCAGAAATGAATATGCATGGATTAATTAAGAGAGCCAGGGGGCAATACGAGAATGATATAGCATAGAAAGTAAAAACTGACTCAAAGCTTTGGCACAGCCACATCAGGAGGAAAACAGTCAAAGATCAGGTAATCGGATTGAGGAAGGAAGTAAGGGAGATCACAAGAAATGACAAAGAAATATGTGAGGAACTCAACACGAGATTCAAGGAAGTGTTATCAGTGGAGACACAAAGGACTCTAGCAAACCGGGATGGAAGGGTACACCAACAAGTGCTGGACACATCACATACAACAGAGGAGGAGGTGAAGAAACTGCTAAGAGAGCTAAATACCTCAAAGGACTGGACAACATCTCTCCGGACAACATCTTTCCATGTGTCCTGAGAGATGGAGCAGAGGTGCTATGTGTGCCACTAACAACAATCTTCAAGACATCTGTCGAAACAGGGTAACTACTTGAGGTATAAGAGACGGAAAATGTAGTCCCAATCTTTAAGAAAGGAGACAGACAGGAGATATTAAACTACATATCAGTGTCATTGACATGCATCGTATGCAAAGTCATGGAGAAGCTTATCAGGAGAAGAGTGGTGGAGCTCCTAGAAAGGAATGAGCTGATAAACAATAACCAGCACAGTTTGAGGGAAGTGAAATCCTGTGTCATAAACCTAATGGAGTTTTACGACAAGGTAACGGAAGTAAGACAGAGAGAGAGAGAGAGAGAGAGAGAGAGAGAGAGAGAGAGAGAGAGATCTGTCATTTCAGCAGAGCCTTCAACACAGGAGGGATGTAGGTGGCCTTACTGTTATGTACAAGGCCAATATTGTCAAAGTACCACACTTGGATCCACTTCGAGGACAGCGTGAAACAAGCTTTTATGCCACAAGACGGGCAGAAAGCAGCAACTTCACTCTGGCTGTACCCTTCTCCAGAACATCACTCCATCTGAGATCATATATACCCAGGATGACTCGAGTATGGAACACATTCGTACAGCATTATGTCAACGAAATAAAGTCAGTTGATCAAATGAAAATGCTGGCCCACAGATGGATCCAACTTCATCCTGTTCCCTACTTGTATGTCTCATAACAATAAAAATGCTTTCAAATGAGCTGATGTAGGTAACAGCTCTTAGCTTGCCAATAAAGTTAGGAATCCTTAACCTGTAAATAGCTTGTCAATAAAGCTAGGGATCCTTAACCTTGTCAAACCCTGTGTAAAAAAAAAAAGAAAAAGAGAGAGAGAGAGAGAGAGAGAGAGAGAGAGAGAGAGGAGAGAGAGAGAGAGAGAGAGAGAGAGAGAGAGGTGGGCAGACCGCATTTTCTTGGACTGCAAGGAGGCAGTGTCTTCAGTGTCTTCATTGTTTTTCTTTTCTTCAGCGTCTTCATTTTCTTCTATCTTCATTGCCTGGTACCATTGCTGCTGGCAGTATACTCAGCTGGTGACAAAGCTCTCGCTTCACACGCTATGGGTCTGGGTTTGATTCCCGCTAAGGATGGAAACGTTGGGCTTGTTTCCTTACACCTGTGGTCCCTGGTCACCCGTTCATCAATAAGTAAAATGGGTACCTGAGTGCTAGTGGACTGGTGTGGGTCGCATCCTGGGACAGAATTGACCTAATTTGCGGGAATTTCTCAGCATAACAAGGGACTTTCTATACAGCAGTATGTCATTGATGTCAGCTATGGTCTGTATAAGTTGTATCATATACTTGTAGAAATAAAGATATTGTTATTGAGGACACTGAAGGCAATGAAGACAATGAAGACAATGAATATAATAAAGACACTGTAGACACTGAAGACAATGAAGACAATGAAGACACTGAAGACACTGAAGACAATGAAGACAATGAAGATAATGAAGACACTGAAGACACTGAAGACACTGAAGACAATGAAGACACTGAAGACACTGAAGACAATGAAGACAATGAAGACACTGAAGACACTGAAGACAATGAAGACAATGAAGACAATGAAGACAATGAAGACACTGAGCAATGAAGACAATAAAGACATGAAGACAATGAAAACAATGAAGTAATGAGACAAATAAGACACTGAAGACAATGAGACAATGAATACAATGATGACACTGAAGACAATGAAGACAATGAAACAATGACGACAATGAAGACAATGAACACTGAAGACATGAAGACAATAAAGACCCTGAAGACAATGATACAATGAAAGAAAATGAAGACAATGAAGACACTGAAGACAGATGAAGCCAATGAAGACAATATTATTGGAAAAAAAAAAAAGACACTGGAGACACATGAAGACAATGAAGACAATGAAACACTGGAGACAATGCAGACAATGAAGACACTGAGACAATGAAGACACTGAAGACACTGAAGACAATGAAGACACTGAAGACACTGAAACAATGACAAAAGACAATGAAACAATGAAGACACTGAGACACTGAAGATACTGAAGAACATGAAGACACTGGAGACACTGAAGACACTGAAGACAATGAAGACAA